AAGGGGGAAGAGAAGGGGGAAGAAAAGGGGGAAGAAAAGGGGGAAGAAAAGGGGGAAGAAAAGGGGGAAGAAAAGGGGGAAGAGGGAATGCAGGTTCTGCTCTACCTGCCCACCCTCATTGCTTCCCATTTTTGCCTCAGAGCAAACAATGTGCCCAAACAAGTGCCCAGCTGGGGTCCCACTGAACACACTCTGGATTTCTCAGTGCCCCCAACAGAAGGCTTTGATGGAAGGTTTTATCCAACACCTCTTCAGGTGAACGTGCATTTAGGCAAAGGAAGTTCCCTTCCCTCAGCCCCCTTCGTAAACATCCTGTGCAAGTCTCCCAGGATCAAAGCAAAGGATCTGTTCTGTGGAACCTCCAGCACTGGGACCTGAAAGCACAGAGCTGCTCCAAAAACCACAGTGCAGCCAGTGGCTGTGGGTGCTGCTGCTGCACCACGTCACAGGAAACACAGACTCAGAGGTGTCACTGTGATGTAGCAGCCACAAAGCTCTACAGCACAATAACACCTGCCCTGTCTGCAACTGTGAGAACTGTGAAAGCATTTAAATGTTCCAGCTTTGAGGGAACTCACTGAAACCCCTCAGCTCCTTGTTCATGTTCAGGCTTTTTGTTATAACCAACAGATAACAGTTTTGTTATAACCTGTTCTTTCCTTTCCAGGTTATGCCTGCCCACAGCAAGGTTTTAACAACTTTTTTTTTAAATGTAAAGCAGCTCACGTTGATTTTTTTAATTTATTTTTAAATTAAATGCTGTTGCTGTGGTTTTGGTTTAACTCTACCACTGGTGATGCTGTTACACCACTTAAAGAGCCCTTCACACACTCAGTGAGGAAACCAGGACTAAAATGGAGAGGGATCCATCAATGTGCAAAGCTTGGGGAGAAATCTGGATCTAATTATTAAGGAAATCAGAAATAGGTTCACAGAGCTTCCCCACCACCCCCTACAGCAAAGTGTTTCCTGGACAGAACTACATGAAATACATTTTCTTAAAAGGGACAGAGCACACGACTTGTGATCTTACCCACAGAGCCTCCAGCAGAGAGCTGACAGAACTCAAACAGCCCATCAAACACAGGGCAGTCCTCCCCAACGTTAACTGGAAAAGAAAATAAAACAATTAGTGAGGTAAACCCACAAAAAATACCAAGCTTACACCACCACTCAGATTAGAAAGGCAAAGTGGACGAGTGACCAACATCAGACAGTTTTTAGGTTCTCAGCAGAACTGAAGTTCTACCCCTGGCAAATTTCTGCTGGAACCGCTTCCACTATTAAAAATTAAAAAAAAAAACAGCAGCAGGTTTGTGTCTAATCCAGATTTGGCAAGGTTTGATTTTACAAACAGGGAAACAAAAAATAAACCTGTATTTTTTTGTAACAACATCCGTGGAGCGTTTCCTTCTGTGCTTAGTGAGAAAGGCACGAACAGCACAAGTTGGAAAGTCACCTCCACAAAGATGGGGGAGCCTCACTGGTCCCAGTTTGGGACAGGGACACCCAGAAGGAAGTGACTGTTCCCACTTTCCAGTTGTTTCAGCAGGGCAGAGTTTGGATAATCAGCTCGCAGAGGTGGCTGGAAACTTCCCCTGCTGAGTGAGGAGAATTTCAGTCACCGATTTCTGCGCGTTTTCCACCACAAGAAATTAAACCTGGTGCCCCTTGGGGTTACTCTGCCCAAGTCTGGCATCAGCAGAATCAGTTCATCCCCTTTACAGCTGCTCTCCAGCTACACAGAGGCTGCTCCTTTGCAGGGTTTGCTGAAGAAAAGCTCTGTCCTCGTGTCTTTAAGATGAATTTTCACGTTTTGCCTTAGTTCTGGGGAAGTTACAGAGCAGGAAAATGTTGTCTACCAGAGAGAGCAGAGTGTTCATGAGCTGTATCTGCTCCAGGGGTAAACAGGTCACTTTGGGGAAAGATGCACTTTGCTATATGTCATTTGGTGTATTAAGGAATAGCATGGACTGTAGGGAGTTTTTTCAAGGTATATCACTCATAAACTATATTATCCCCCTTCCTCTTATGTGCTTGGGTTTTAACATCTGGCCCCTTCACCTCACACCAAGACCAAAATACTGTTAAAATGAAGCTTGAGCCTTCCCCACTATTAGTCTGTATTTGCTAAAAATCTACTTTGCTGCAGCCACTGCCAAAAAAAACGTGAGTTCAAAGCTGCAGGGAGACCCAAAACCAGGTCCCTGTAACCTTAAAATCACCATTAAAGAGCCTTTCCATGGGCTGGAGGGGTTAGAACAAGACATCAGCTCACAATAAACCATCCTGACACAAAGCTGCCAGGTATTAACGTGGATCTCAACCCTTCCAAACTGCCCTGAGAACCCTTCAGAGTTTGGAAGATAACTGAGGAGAAGGGGTTTTTTAGTTTGTTTGTTTGATTTACCCAACTCTTTCCCACCTCTGGTTGAAGATAAGCACATTAACTCAAAATCCATGCAGCTCATAAATGGAGTTTAGCCAGGAAGGGAATTTTTTAGAAGAGTTTCCATCAAAACACAACACAAAAACATAAGGACAGGCAGGTCAAAGGGGGTTTTTTTGGCTTTTTGGCTCGAGCCATCTTTAAAATGACTGATCTGCCAGAAAAATCAAAAGGGAAGTCAGGACAAAGACAATTTCCCCATGGTTCTTCCTGCTCTTTTTTATCCCAAACCTCCACAACAGGCCTCGGATTCCCCAGATCCATGTTATGTGTTTTTTTTAACCTTGGTAGGACCTGCAGCACAAACTCACATCTTTGCATCTGCTTGCTGTACTCAGACATGTTGTCAGGGCGGATGGACCTCAGGAATTTGATGTAGTCATCACTGTGGTACTTGGTCATCTCCTCTGCATTTGCCTTGTGAGGACGCTGCAAGGACAGAAAAAGAAAAAATAAATAAATTCCCCTTTCCAATCCCAGATTTACTCCCAGGAACTGCAAAAAAAAAAAAGCAGCATCAAACCAGCAGCATTAAACAAGAGAAACTCGCTTTCTTTAGAAATGTCACTACTGGAGTGTGTCACACATGCAGAAACACAACATAAATTTCATTTGCAAGGGGAAAAAAAAGCAGTTTTCCAGTCTCCAAAGCTCCTCTGAAGCACAGAACATCTCACTACAACACTCAGAAAAAATACATCAGCACAACTGTTAAAGGTTTGCTTATTTTTTTCCTCAACAAGTCTGAAGCTCCACAGTTAAAACCTGACACATTAACTAGGACCTTTCCCTTGATGAGCAGCCCCACAACTCACATAGATCTCCATCTTCCTGTAGAGGCCGTAGTTCAGCAGCAGGTTGTGGGTCATCCGGATCCTGTGGGGTTTCATGGGATGTCCTTGGCCATAATAGTAGTTCCCGACGTCCCCTGGGAGCAGAAAGGGATTTGTTACAGCAGGGAAAACCCCCCCCATTCCTTCCAAGGGAATCCCAGCCAAGCCAGCAGGTCATCTGTCATCCATTTGTCCTTCAGAGGGGATGGGGTGTCCCCTCTTCTTTGCACATGGATTCAGAAAAGTTTATCCTGGACTCAAGTGGAAATTTGGGGAGGGAGTTTTTAATGCTGGTTCTGGAGAAGCCAATCCAGGCAGAGTCTGAGCCCTAAACATCACACTGTGCATGTGGAAGGTGTCCCTGCCCGTGGCAGGGGGTTGGAATTACATCACCTTTAAGGTCTCTTCCATCCCAAATCACTCCATGGTTCTGTGAGTTTAGAGGAGGCAGCTCCAAGCCTGGACCAGAGGAGTTTTGGGCAGCTGTGCTGACTCAGCACAGGAAAACCCCTCAGGCTCCAGGACTCCCAGGTTTCCCTGAGCAGGATCCACATGGGAGTTTAATCCCAGCTCAGACAGTGCCTCATCCCAGGGAACAGCCTCTGCCTCACTTTCTTACTGTTTGCCCCAGCAAAACGAGACCCAGGGCAGGTCCCTGTGCCACCAGCCCAGCCGTGCTCTGACACCTTCTCAACCCTTTCCACCCTGGTTTTTTTATTCCTTGCAATCCTCCAGAGGAATCCCAGGCCTTCCCAGCCACCCCCAGGGGACACCAGGGCAACAAAGTCACCTTCCTGCAAGTTCATCTCCCCCCAGGGATTGTCTCCTCCCCAGCCAAAGCCCAGTTCACACTTCCCTCCCCCCGCTGCTAAACAGCTGGGGTTGGGTGGGTTTTTTTCTCCCCTCTTTTCCCAGGGAACTTAATTTTCCTGAAATGTACAGAAATTTAACTTTCAGATGGGTTCCTCCTGCCTGATTTGGCTGCAGCAGGCACAGATCAAACGCTGCCAGGAGCAGGAAAGGCTCAGGCAGCAGCAGGAACGTCTCCCAAGCCTCATTTCCTTGGGAAACCAGACCAAGTTGTTGATGGAGTTGTACAACTCCTGCTCCGTTTAGGAAGCAGGAGACTCAATCCAGTCTGGCTGGTGACTCAGTTGGGAGAATTAATATTTCATCACCCATCTCAACATTCAGGAGAAGCTGCTGCTTCCCCACAGCACCGGAGCTCTTCCCTCCTGTGGACGTGGATCTATTTTCAGCCAAAGTGGATGCAAATGGTGCAAATCCCACGCCCAGACAACTCTGCTGCTGGAATTTTTACCTGTCTCTGGGGCTACAGGGAAATGGGACATTGTGTTCTTTCAGTACAACCTCAGAAAGCAGAATTATTTCCGGTAAAATGCATCTTTTTACTGAAAATAATTCCGTTTTCTGAAACGTATGAAGGTGTTTTACCAGGGTAACCATCAAACATATCCCTAAAACTATCCCTAAATCAAGCTTGGGGGAACTTAATATGAGATGCTTGAGACCTTAGATAGAAAATACAACCACAAAACTTCATGAAGCTTTAAAAAAATCAGCATCATCTTCACCTCAGGCTGTCAGTGGAATGCTCTGGGCCAACCCTGACCTCCACAGCCTGTTCCCTCTGCTGCCACATCCCACCAGGAATCCTGTGGATCCCTGGACAAGTGTCAGAGCAGATTAAGAGACTGTGAACTCCCACAGACACCTCTTCACCTGTTGGGGTTACACAAGTCCCTTCCTGGGGAGCTTATAATGGAGAAGTTACATCCAAACCCTTCCAAAAAAGACCCTTTGGACGCCTGATCACCTTTTCCCCGCCCTCTGCATCCCACATTCCTTCTCCACCTGAAATTTAGGGCTCGAGAGACCCAAACCATCTCCTGGTGTGGAATTATCCCACCACATCCAACCTTCCCTGCGTGGAAAACAAAAGCCCCAAACCACACTGACCCCCTGGCAACTGCAGGTTGTGCCTCTGCCCCACAACAACATGGATGTTTGTCAGCTGCTCAGAAAAGAGCAGTGAGGGAGGAAAGGAAAAAAAAAAGGCACTGAAACCTTCACCAGGGTGTAAATTAGGGAGGGCAGCTCCAGAAGAGAGCGTGAAGACCTCAGGGGAGGCAGCTCTGCTCAGCATTTCGCACCAAACAACCGGTTATTTGGTATTTAAGGCATAATTATGAGCCTGCAAAGATTTATGGTTTGCTCCCAGCCCAGCAGGCTGCTCTGTGAACAGCTTATATCCCAAAGAGAGGGGTGGATTTCGTGGAATCACGGGATGGTTTGGGTTTGGGAGGGAGCTTAAAGAGCATCCAGTGCCACCCGTGACACCCTCCACTATCCCAGGTTGCTCCAACGTGGCCTTGGACACTCCCAGGGATGGGAAAGCTTCTCTGGGAAATCCATTCCAGCCCCTCACCACCCTGACAGGGAGGGATTTCCCCCCACTATCCCACCTGACCCTGCCCTTCTACAAACTGAGGCTAAATTTGGACACGGAGACCAATTTTTTTCCCAACCTGTTGTGCCACTCTGGCACTCCTGGAGTTCAAACCAGGCATTTTAGAGCCCAAAGGCTCCCCCTGGCATTTTTGGAAGGCTGGTGTTGCCCAGGGAGCAGTTGTGTGGTGAAACTGGGCTCGATTTCACTTCACCCACAGCTCCAACCCTGCCCCTTCCTTGCCCTGCCCTTCCAAAGGCACTGAGTCAGTGACCCAGGACAGGTTGCAAACCTCCCATTTGACTTTTCCAGAGCAATAAAACCCCTCCCCACACGCCTGACACAGTCATTTGGAAGAGCCCCCTCCACTGGGGCACAGCCACTTAGGGGAAAAAAGCAGCAAGAACAAGTTTTTATTTGATTTCAGACCCAAAACCACGATGAAAATAGAGAATTGCACAACACCCCTCACACTGGGGGAGCAGAGTCTATAAAAAAATGAGCCTGCCCATCACCAAAGGGGAGGGGGCTGTGAAGGCACAGGGGTGGCAGGATTGGGATTTCTCCCCCAGCCTGTGGGGTGGATGAGGGATCTGGGCAGCCCCAACACCCTGTTATTCCCTGCTCCAAAGGGATGGTTACACAGCCCCAAAGCAGCACCTCAGAACCAAAGTGAGCCACCCCACAACCCAGCACATCCAGAGCCAGAACCAGAGGATGCTCCTGGCCACAGGAGCTCCCTGCAAACAGCCACGGCCACTCTGGCTCCCAGAGCTTTTGGGTTTGTTCCCTCTCGACACCGGGAGTGCCTCTTCCTCTGACACGGCTCCAGGAGGATTCACCTCCCTGCGCTCCCCAAAATCCTTCTCCAGCACCTCAGCACAGCTCCCAAAGCCTCTCTCAGCCTGGTGCCCCTCTCTCCACCCCAGACCCCTCCCAGCCTTTCCTCCAAACTCCCCAGATTCCCACACCCTGCCCCACTCCAGCCCCCATCTCCCCCCAGTCCTGCTCCCCTACTTCCCCCCACTCTTCCCACTCTCCCCTCCAGTGCTCCCCACGTCCCTGCCATGCTCCCCCACACCCCTCCTGTGCCCCCCAGTGCCCCCAGCCCCACTGAGAACCCTTCATAACCCAGCTCACACTGCCCTGACCCACATGTCCCTATTGCCCCCCTGGCCCTCAGTGACCCCAATCTCCCTCCCTGCACCCCCCCAGCGACCCCACTACCCTTCCCACCACCCCCAGGGCAGCCCCACCACGTTTCCCAGTGACCCCCCCCAACACTTACCCACTCCAGAGCATCCCCCACCTCCACGTCCTCCAGTGACCCCCATCCCCAAACCCTCACCTGCAT